TTGGTTCCCAGACCCATGATGGGCAGCTTAGTACTCCAGGTCCAAAGTATCTGATACCCTCTTCTGGCCTCTGTGGACACCTACAGACTTGTGCACACACCAACATGTAGATACACACAAGTCTTTCAAAAGGATCTTTCAATCCAGGTGCGGTTGCACATAAATGTAATCCTGGCTCTCAGGAGACTGAGACAGGAAGATTGCTGCAAGGTTGAGGTCAGTCTAAGCTATCTAGTCAGTTTAAGGCTATCCTGAGCTACATGAGACTATCTCAAAAGCATAGTGTGACAATGTGCAAAGGAGCCAGGGGTGGTAGCACATGCTTTTGTAATCTCAGTTTTCTGGAGGCAGACACGGGTGGGTCTGTGATTGCCAAGCCAGTCAGGGCTACATAGTGAGACCCTGTTTCCAAAAAAAGATGATGATGATTTGTAAATTTTAATCTATTTGATAACACCTGTCTTCTAATTAAATGAGTAGCTGAGGTAAATCTAGTTAATTTAGAAATAAATGTTTGAGGGGATGGAGAGATGGCTCAGCGGTTAAGAGCACTGACTGCTGTTGCAGAGGACCCAGGGTTGATGCCAGGTACCCACATGGTGGCTAACAAGCTTCGTAACTCCAGTTCCAGGTGGTCTGATCCCTTCTTTTGACACTACTGCATAACACCAGTGGTGTACTTACACACATCCAGGCAATACAATCATATTCATAAATAAAAATAATAAAATATTCTTTAAAAAAGTTTAAAGTCACTGGGTGTGGTGACGGTAGCACACACCTTTAGTCTCAGCACTTGGGAGGCGAGGCAGGTGGATCTCTGTGAGTTCAAGGCCATCCTGGTCTACATATCAAGTTCCAGGCCAGCTGTGGCTATAGGGAGACCCTGTCTCAAAGAGACCAAAAAAAAAAAAAAGTTCAACGTCATCCTTACCTACATAGTGAGTTTTAGGCCAGCTTAGGCTATATGTATTCCCAACTGGCTTGGAACTCACTGTGGAGACCTGCTGGCCTCAGTCTCAAAGAGATCTGTCTGCCTCTGCCTCCCAAAGTGCTGGGATTAAAGGCGTGGGCTGCCTCAACTCCCAGCTATTTTATTTTTATTTTATGTGTATATTTTGCCTGCATGTGTGTAAGTGCACCATGTGCATGCAATGCCTGTAGAAGCCAGAAGTGGGTGTAAGGTCCCCTGGAACTGGAGGTACAGATGGTTAGCTGCCATGTGGGGCTGGGAAATGAACCCAGGTCACCTGCAAGAGTAGCTAGTATTCTTAACTGATGAGCCATCTCTCCAGGATTAGCAGGACTTCTTTTCTTTGAATATTTTATTATTTTTATTTTATGTGCATGAGTATATTGTCTGCAGGTGTGTAAGTGTACCCATATCATGCAATGCCTGTGGAATCAGAAGAGGGTGTCGGATCCCCCTGAAACTGGAGTACAGGCTGCTGTTGTTAGCCACCATGTAGGTACTGGGATTGAACCCGGGTCCTCTGCAAGAGCATTCACTGCTCTTAACCGCTGAGCATCTCTCCAGCCCAAAGATCCCCTGGAACTGGAGTTACAGAAGGTTGTCAGCTGCCATGTGGGTGCTGGGACCCCAACCCGAGTCCTCTGTAAGAGCGGACAGTGCTCCTAACCACTGAGCGTCTCTCCAGCCCAAAAGATCCCCTGGAACTGGAGTTATGGAAGGTTGTCAGCCACCATGTGGGTGCTGGGACCCAACCCGGGTCCTCTGCAAGAGCAGACAGTGCTCCTAACCACTGAGCGTCTCTCCAGCCCCAAGAAAAACGTTTAAAGTTTTCCTTCTCCTTATTTTCGAGTCTTCACTCCGAGCCGCACGCATTATCATATCCGTTTAAGTGGTTACACCATCATGGGGTAAGGGCTACGTGAGAGAGAGGAACTTTACAATAAAAATTCACGATAAATATAAAAACAGATCTCCGACCATACTTACAGAAGACGAAGATCTACCCAAAGTATGCTAAGACAGAGAAAATTTACTGGATGGGTGAAAAGAATCTATCGCCTGTCTCTAAGGCTAGGAAGGACAGCTGCACCTCCCTGCAGACACTGGGCCTCCTCCCACGCTCTCCTCTGCTCACATCTTGCAGGCTGCGTCTCCTTGCTGTTACTGGTCTTTACTGCCTGTCTGAGAACATGGCAGAAAAGTCTTTTCGGCCACATCAGGTCAGATACGAATTTAAACCAAGTAACCTTTCTCACTTTCATTCTTCAAGTTCTCTGGAAGAGAAAGCTGATCAGTTCAAGGATTTTTTTCATGTGCAATCAATTTTTAGTCAAGTTCTGATTGTGACAATGGGGTCAATGACTTAATGTCCTTAGGGCAAAGGGAGAGTATTCTTTTGAGAAGGGTCCATCTCTTTTGAGATTAGTGTGCATGTGAAGAACGGGTTGTTGTAGAAGATGCAGCGGACATCTCTCTTGGCCTTCTGAAATTTTAATAGGTGGAACAGTAAACTACATCAATGACTCATTCGTTCTGTAAATATTAATGTCAATTGTTTTCCTTCCCATATGTTCATTCTTACGAGTTGTCAATCCATTAAGATGCAAGACCAATAATCATCACCACAGCTGACATTTATTGGCTATGTGTGCTCTGTGATACACATTCTTAACATCCTATCCTAACTGGTAGCTGTTACCAGTTTTATTGAAAAACTGTGAACTTTGGAGATACCAGGTGAAACAGTCACTATTTCCTTTGAATTACTGCACTAACCATGTTTTCTTGCTTCTGATCTTGCCCTCCTCAATTCAGAAGTCATAACGGTATTTAAATTTTTTAGTGTATACTCATTGTACAAAATGATTCTCCGAGCAAAATTTATTCAAGTAAATCACGTACTTTGACCATATGCACTTCCTGTAACACTTTCATGTCCTGCCTTCCTCCCCTGCTAGTCCTATTCACTTCCTCATTAGTCCCCTTCTATTAATACCATGTGGGCACTGAATTCCAGATATTAGAGGAAACCCGGTATCTTTTTGTCAGTTTCCAGTCCCTTCTCATAATGATATTTCTATTATTATTGTTTCATCATCATCATTATTATTATTATTATTATTGTCTTTTTGAGACACTGTCTTCCTGTAGCCCCAGCTGGCCTGTAACTCACTATGTAGACCAGGCTGGCCTTGAACTCAGAGCTATGCCTGCCTCTGCCTCCAGAGTGCTGGGACTAAAGGCATGCGCCACCACGCCTGGCTTGATAGTTCTAAAATACAAATCTGGTCATGTTTCATTCCTGCTTAAAACCTGTTTCCCGCTGTCCATTCATATCCCTTTCAGTCACTCGATCCTCAAAGACCTGAAAAAATCATTTGAATTCTTGTTTTTGCTGTTTTATAGCTTTTATTCTCAAACGACACAATAATTATACCTACTTGTGGGGTGCACATTTGCAGCTCTTAGCAATCCACTCCCTACCTGTGCATAACAGCTCCAGAGCCATTCCTCCCATTAACTCCTACGTAGGAGTCAGTGGAGCTGTCTCCTCACTCAGAGCCATCTCCTCATTGAACTGGGTGCCTCTCCTCTCAGCACGCAGAACTCTTGTGCACACATCACACCTCACAGTAGTGTTTGCTGTCTTTGAGTTGCTCTGGACTTTAGTATCTTTAGTGGGGGAGGAGTATATCTGGTTTGATGTGGAATACTCTAAGACCAGTGGAGTGTTTGGCAGGCAGTAGTTGCAAAATAAGTATCTGTGAAATGAACTAATCTCACATGGAAGTGTAAAAGCATTTGCAATGTGACCCAGTTAAAAATATTTAGCATGTTTTGTTTAGTGATGAATTATACTGACAGTTGCTTTCCTTATAACTATTTTTGCTTATATTCTGTAACAATTAAGTTGTAAAAAATAATAAATTAGTTGAAAAACATTCCACAAAATAACACGATGGAAAACAAGTGAAATGCATCAAACTTAGTGTAAAAAAAAAAAAAAAAAAAAAAAAAAAAAAAGAAAGCTGGATGACAAAAAGGATGTAGTTACTGGGGAGAGAATAGCCAGGAGTTGAAGGCCTTTTCAGAGCTCACTAAAGTGGAATTTGCTTTGTTGGTAATATTTAATCCATACAATAATTATTTGAGGTTATTATGTCTGTAAAAGAAGGCACGAAATTAAGAATCAGGTTAGAGGAAAGTAAACTAAGTTGAATCTTTGATATGTTACATGACCTACAAAGCAAATGAAATAAAAATTCTCCCTAGAAAGTCTTCAAGGTAAACCATTATGGTACCTCAAGTGATCCTTTTACTGGTGTTAACTTCTGGGTAAGCTTTTGAATTATTCATCTCAAACTGATTTCTTTCACTGTGTCTTCTGCCTTGGATATAGGGATCAATCTCCCCCCCTCCAAATGTATATTTTTACTTCCACCAGGGTAAATTCCATTTCCCCCCTCTATCTCTGTTTTCTCTCCATTCCCCTTGGCAGGTGATTGAATTCAGGGCGTCATACATGCTACATAAATGCTTTACCGCTAAACCCAGTCCTTAAGGTCCTTGGCAAGAAAACTGCTTCTTTTGTCCTAATTTCCGATTTAGCTGAAGGTTCGTGAACCTAGTAAAGCATCTTGATCTTCCTTTCGAGAACTGTCAGCAACACAAGCTCAGAAGCAGTGACTAGCTTAGTGCGGAGTAACCCTGTAGGCAACTCTGGGAAATGTCAAGTTCTTAGCCGTGGCGGAGTTTGAGCGACACGTAATACGGCACTACTACACAGAAATAAAAACTGAACTTTCAACTTCCATCGGGTCCGGTATCTGCTGGGTCTGTTAAACTTATCCAATCTCAGGTCTGTTATTAATAAGAAGAGGTTTGTAGGTGCAGCTCGCCGGCAGCGTGCTTGTCTAGCAGCCACGAGTCCGGGTTCATCCCCGGCACAAAACGGCCGCAAACGGCGTCACCTCCAAACAGCGGGAACCAGGAAGCCCAGGAAAGTCCCGGTGCACTCTGGGACTTCCGTCAGGACGACGTGAGACCCGCGTGGGACGGAAACACCTGCGGAAACGCTCGCACCGGTGACAGCAGCGACCCGAACCCAGAAACCCCGAGTGGGCGGGTCTCCAGGGCGAGGACGCCCGGGTTGCTGTGTGACGTCATCACCCCGCGCCGGTTCCACTGGGCGCCCGGACCGCGCAGCGCGCCATGGGGCCGTGGCGGCGTCTGTGGCGTTTCGGCGTCGCGTGGTTTCGGGGTGGTGGCGCGGCCGCCGTCCCGCCCGTGGGGAGCCGAGCTCTGGGTCGTGGGCGCCAGGTGCGTGGGGCTGCGGGGAGCGGAGGAGGGGCCGCGTGGAGACCGCACGCGCTGCAGCTCTGCCTGTCAGGTCCCGAGCGGGGCCGTGGCGCACGTTCGTCTCCCGGTTAAAGGGAAGGAAAAGCCGAAGTTCCCCCGAAGAGACGCCGCCACTTCGCACTTGAGCATTCTTACCTGTCCCGGCAGACCCTGGGTAGACAGCGGTTCAGGGATGAATTAGCGGAGCTGAGCAGAACTAGAGCAGAAAGCCTTAACCCCCGGCCCGGGGGTTGTGTTGTCTGCACCGCACAGCGCGGGGGTAACGGACCCGTCCTTGCAAACTCGCGGTTTTGTCTTTTAGGTACTAGGTGCCGACGGTGAGACCCTAAACCAGAGAAGAGCTCGGATCATGGCGCGAGGACTTCCAGAGCAGAAGCCCATAGACGGTGTCAAACAAGCCATTGTTGTGGCGTCCGGAAAGGGTGGAGTTGGAAAGTCTACTACAGCAGGTACGGTAGCTCGCTCACTTGATCCCGGTTAAGAAGTCGTGCAGACTGCCGAGTCACGGTCACTTTCTTCTCAAGTTTAGTTTTTGGGAGGTGTCCAAGAGGTGGTTCCTTACTATCTGGACTTTATAGTGGATGGAAACTTACATTAGGGAGTTAGAGGTAAACAGGACTCTGGGTTGTCTGTTCGTTAATGAGCAAAATGTGGTTAGGTGGGCTACAGATCTTTGGTTTACTTAATTAAGAAGGGGATAATAATCTCTTTCATAGGATGTTTATGCAAACTAAACCAATTAGCCCAGCATCTTCTCCGTAGTAAATTCTCAATAATTGATTGCTGTCATTTTAAAACATCCAGTAATCTTACGCTAAATTATTGCTGTTCTTTGATTTTTTCCCCCCAGTATATTGGTGTCATATAGTTTCTACTTGCAATGAAAAATTTTGTTATTGTGATGTTTTTGTTTAAGCACATCAAAGCTAATACTTAATCATTCTTGAGAGGTTTAGCATTGTTTTAGTTATTTAAAACATGTAGTCTTTTGGTGTGTGTGTGTGTGTGTGTGTGTGTGTGTGTGTGTGTGTATGTGTAGGCCTGATGTTTGACACTGAATGTCTTCTGTTACTGCTCTTCAGCCGTGCTTTTGAAGCTGGACCTCAGGATGGCTAGGCTGAGTGCCCATTGAGCTCTGGGGAATCTGCCTGTCTCCACCCCCCTCCTGCTGGATTTGCACTCAGGTCCTGGTGTTTGTGTGGGAAGCACTTTACTCACTGAGCCATCTCCCCACCTGTCATCTAGTCTTCGTACCCTTGGATGGAGACTCTCTGGTGGCCCTGTTTCGTTGACTGTATATTTGTCACCAGAATGCCACTCTTAGAACCCGTGAAAGAAGTGCTTCCAGGAATAGAATGAATAGATGACTACGAATTATTTCCAAAAGAAATCTTTTGTTATTTGTTCTTAACGAATTCATGCTCTATCCTGCACATTTTGTCCTTCTTTCTTAAGGGCCTGTCTACAGTCAATCTGTTTGATGATTTGTTTTTATAATTTTATTTCTTTGTTATTTTTATTTTATGTGTATATTTGCATTGCCTGCATATATGTAAGTGCACCCGTGTTGTGCAATGCCCATGGAGGTCAGAAGGATGAGTTGGATTCCCCTGGAACTGCAGTTACAGAAAATTGTCAGCTACCATGTGGGTGCTGGCAATCAAACCTGGATCCTCTGCAAGAGCTACTGGTGCTCTTAACTGCTGAGCCATCTCTCCAGCCCCTGATTTGTTTTTAAAAATTTATAAGCATTTTTTCTTTGTTTCCATAATCTGCCTTTCTCTGTTTTTGAAAACGTGTTGTACATCGACCTGTGTCCAGTGGTGTGGATCCTTGTGCATGTTCTGTGATTACTCGGACTGAATAGAGATGTGAAGTGCTTTTTTGATCATAGCCATAAGCTCTCTGGGTTTTGTGCGATGCAGTTTATTGGGTCTGTAGGCTAGCCCTTGTTTAAAACAGACATCATTTCTGTTGGAAGCTGATTTGTGGAGTATGAAGGCATTTTAATAGGAAATGATACAGGAAAGTGTACAACATGTTATTTTGGCTTATGGCTCCAGACGGTTAGACTGTCCATCCTGGCAGGGAAGGCATGTCAGGCTGGCAGGAGCAGGAAGCTGGCTGATCACATTCTGTCTGCACACAGGAAGCAGACAGAGGGAACAGGAAGTAGGGTGAGGCTCCGGAACCTCTAAGCCTGCCCCAAGTGATATACTTTGTCCAGCAAGGACTCCCCTCCTAAAGGTTCCAATTACCTCTCCAAATAGATAGGGTGAGGCTCCGGAACCTCTAAGCCTGCCCCAAGTGATATTTGTCCAGCAAGGACTCCCCTCCTAAAGGTTCCAATTACCTCTCCAAATAGTGCCATCATTTGGGAACCAGGTGTTCAAATACATGAGTCTCTGGGGAGACATTTCTCCTTGAAGCCACCACAGCACGTGACACATAGAAGGTGCTTTGTAAATGCCCCTTCTCACCTTTTTCCTGTTAATGTTATGCCGTGTGTCCTAAACTGCTCATCTGTGATTTTTTTCGAACAGCTCTGTGAACGTGCCTAAGCCTTAGGAGTTTTTGGGTCACTTACTTCTGTGCCTTCTGTGTATTTACTCTTCCCTCAGACTGTTTCTGAATACTTAGTGTTTGAATATGTATGCCACAGATACCTTGGATTAGAATGATGACAGTCGGTAACTCAGATATGCTCTGTGATCCTATTATGAAGAACGCAACTTCAAGATGAGTGACTTTCTTAAAGTCTCTACTTGAAACACTGGGAGTATGGCTCAGTGGTAAAGTGCTTGCCTAGCGTGTGTGGGACCCTTAGTTCAATCCCAGCACTGCCAAAAAGTTTTTGCTTAAAAGTTAGATTATGCTTAAGCTATTAATGTACTTGACATCCTAAGTTGTTGTGTAATATATATGGATGAATTTGTAAGTACCATGCCCTGATGAAATATTTACATAAAATATTTCATTTAATCCTCATAACAGTTACAAAGCAGGGGTTACCTGTATTTTATAGAGGAGAAAACAGTCTGGCCAATAAAACACACAGTCAGGGTTATACAATAGAAGGTGGTGGAGCTGGGATCTGAACCAGGTCTACTTTAAAAATTATGCTTTCACTGCCTTTAAAGGAAAACAGTTCCAATAGAATTTACAGCATTCTTCTGCAAGGAAGTAGGATTTACAGTCTGAGGCCCTGTTTATCAGTCTTGGAAATCCAGCACTTCAGACTTTCTAGTGCGGCCTGTCTCCAGTGGTGGCTAAAGATCCCTCTGTGTACCAGCTCCCTCCTTTTTGTCTCTGGGATCACTGGCATCGGGAGTTTGGGAACAACATCGATGCCTTCATCCTTTACCGTCTTCCCTCTGGTGAGGTATCTCAGCCTTTTGTGCACTTGTGTATTTATGAGTTACGTACTTGGAATGCTTTTATATTTTTTAAAAGAAATGGGAGTATAACCATTATTTAAAAATGATTTTGAAAGTAATTGAACTATATGTTTCATTAACATTGCTTACCAATAAACCTAATTGGAATATTTGAACAAAATTTAACAGACTATAAATGAATTATTTGAGATGGCTCAGTCAGTGGTCAAGAACACTGACTGTACTTGCAGAAGACCCGGACTCGAATCCTAGCACCCACATGGCAGCTAACAGTTGTCCGTAACTCCAGTTCCAGGGGATCCGACAGCCTCTTCTGTCCTCCTTGGGCATTGCTCGACATGGGTGCACTTACCTACATGCAGGCAATACACACGTACACATAAAATAAAAATAATAGATAAAAAAACCCATTCGTTGCAAGGTAGACATTTATCAGTGTTACAAAATTATATTTTCTTCTATCCTTTTACTTTCTGCATTTTCTCTGCATTCTTGTTCTGGTCCAGTGAGGGAAATATTAAAAGAGAGCTAATTTTTGCCACATTTATACTGAGTTCAATATTGTATAACTGTATTAATTCAACTGTGAACCTAAAAATTTACAGCCACTTTTGAAAGAGATGTCTCTTTGCTCTGGAAATTGTTATTGCATATGCTTAAGCTGCAGTGAAATGCTGCTTCTAATCATGGTTATTAAATAAATTTTTAAAAAGTTAATTTTCATACAAGGAAAATTACTGAATTTTATTACTCTCTTTCTTTCAGTGAACCTCGCACTGGCACTAGCGGTGAATGACGCGGTAGGTGCTCACTGATGCTCATTTGTCAACATGTTTTAGGTGATACAGAGCGGAGTGGTGTTGTCTGAAGTTTCAGTCTGGTTTCAGTCAGGTGCCTGTCTTTAAGGAACTGAAACTGCTGCCGTTGGTACTGTTCTATTTAGTGATAATGCTGACACAGCCTTGACCATGTTGCTTGCTGGGCATCCCACAATTATTGCTTGGAGGCCGCATTTTAAACACATTTTCACTATTATACTATATAGTAGCATTTAGTGTTCCATTTTTATTTTGAAGCAAGGTCTTACTGTTTACCCCAGGCAGATTTAGAACTTACTTTGTAGCCCAGGCTGGCCTCAAACTCAAGATCCTCCTGCTTCAGCCTCCCAAGTGCAGGATTACAGACATGTGCTAACATGCCTGCCGTGTTCAGTTTTTGAGTTATTTAATTCTTTTTTAAAAAGTATTTTATTTATTTATTTATTTTGGTCTTTTTGAGACAGGGTCTCCCTGTAGCCCCTGCTGTCCTGGAACTCACTATGTAGACCAGGCTGGTCTTGAACTCACAGAGATCCGCCTGCCTCTGCCTCCTAAGTGCTGGGATTAAAGACTCCTGGCTTATTTTTTATCTTTTATGTGTATGAGTGTATTGCCTGGTGAGTGCATCCGTGTCGTGCAATGCCGCGGAGGTCAGAAAAGGGCTTCGGATTCCCCTGGAACTGGCGTTAAGGACAGTTCTTAGCTACCATGTGGGTGCTGGGAATCGAACCCAGGTCCTCTGCAAGAGCACCCACTGAGCCATCTCTCCAGCCCTTAATTCTCTCTTTTTTTTAAAGGTGAAAGGTACTTGAGAAGTAGTGCTGGTGCATTGGAACAAGAGTTGGGTGGACGTGTGTGACATGAACCTGAAGGCTTGTACCGCTCCCTTGTATGCCCTAGCTTTGCCTGGGGTTAATAGTTTCTATGTGCGCCGTTCAGCTTCTCTTCCTATGAAGATGACAAAACCACATATGTGAAGCTGTATTGATGACTGACCAGTTCCCATTTGATGATGTTTTTGAATTGTTTCCCATTTTTCCCAGTTATACCAATGAAAGTATAATGGGATTTATTTTTCCTGTACTGGGGATTGAACCTAGGGCCTCATGCACACTGGGCTAATGCTGTACCACTGAGCCACCTCCCCTGAGCCACCTCCCCTGAGCCACCTCCTCTGAGCCACCTCCCCTGAGCCACCTCCCCTGACTACCTCCCCTGAGCCACCTCCCCTGAGCCACCTTCCCTGACCCACCTCCCCTGAGCTATCTCCCCTGAGCCACCTCCCCTGACTACCTCCCCTGAGCCATCTCCCCTGAGCCACCTCCCCTGAGCCACCTCCCCTGACTACCTCCCCTGAGCCATCTCCCCTGAGCCACCTCCCCTGAGCCACCTCCCCTGAGCCACCTCCCCTGAGCCACCTCCCCTGAGCCACCTCCCCTGAGCCACCTCCCCTGAGCCACCTCCCCTGAGCCACCTCCCCTGAGCCACCTCCCCTGAGCTAGTTAATTTATTCATTTTTAATAATTTATTTTTAGGTTTATGTGTATGAGTGTATTGTCTATGTGTATGTAAGTGCACCTTCATCATGCAGTGCTTATGGAGGACAGAAGAGGGTCAGATTTCATGGAATAGAAGTTACAGCTGGTTGTTAGTTACCATGCGGGTGCTAGATTTGAACCCGGGTGTTCTGTAAGAATAGCCAGTGCTCTTAACTGCTGCCCCTTTAATTTAATTTAGTTAGTTTAGTTTAATTTAATTTAATTTAATTTTTTGTGTTTTGTCTTTTTGAGACAGGGTCTCCCTGTAGCTCCAGCTGTCCTGGAACTCACTATGTAGACCAGGATGGCCTTGAACTCACAGAGATCCACCTGTCTCTGCCTCCTGTGTACCACCAGGCCTGGCTCAATTTTATTTTGTATTGAGAGTGAGAGGGAGGGAGGGAGAGAGGGAGGAAGAGAGAGAGAGAGAGAAGGAGGGAGGGAGGGAGGGAGGAAGGAAGGAAGGAGTAAAGGAAGGAAAAGAGAGAGAGAGGAGTTATAGAATTCAAAAATTACAGAAGGGCTGAAGAGATGGCTCAGAGGTTAAGATCACTGACTTCTCTTGCAGAGGACCTGGGTTCGATTTCCAGCACCCTCATGATGGCTAACAACTGTCCTAACCCCAGTTAGGGGATCCCAACACCCTCTCCCGACTTCCATGGGCATTGTACGACACAAGTACACTTATAAATGAGTGCACTTACATACATGCAGGCAACACACTGATACACGTAAAAATAAATATTTTTTTAAAAAAATTACAGAAGAATGAATAATGAACAGTCATTTTGTCAAACCTACAAAAGTGGAAGAAAATAAGGTACAGTAAGTAAAGGCTTAGGGCTGTGGGAGGTGTGGCTCAGTGAAAAGCATGTGTCTATCATTATGCACAAGGTCCTGGGTTTGAGCCTCAGCACTACCAATAAATGAATAAATACATAAATAAGTAATAAATAGGAAGATTGAAGTAAAAAGTTAGAGCACATCAATGATTTTTGCACTAATTATAAGTGAACTGATTTGCCCCATTAAGAAACGGATGGCATCATGGGTTAATGTCATAATATAGATTTTGAATGCTGGCCAAAGCTCATGCACTGAAGACTTGGTGCCAAATACAACAGTGATCTGAAGAAGACCCTTTGGGAGCTGATCTGATGAAAGATTAATATATTTGTAGATTTGTAAGTTAATGGGCTGTTGGGAGGTTGTGGAGACTTTAGGATATAAAGTGTTATTGGAGAAACTCGCTTATTGAGGGGGATGTCCTTAAAGAATATATTTTGTCTCTGGTCTCTTCCTCTCTTGCTTCTTTTGTACCTGGCTGTCATGAGGTGATCAATTTTGCTCTGCCATGATCCTCTAACTTACACCAGGCCTAAAAGCAACCAGAACAAGTGACAATGGATAACAGAGGTGCACTAACACACATGCAGGCAATACACTCATACACATAAAATAAAAATAATAAGTAAAAATATATATTAAAGAAAAGAAAATTCAAGTTCATTACTGGGGATGTTCAGGGCAAAAACTCTCTGACTAACCTCCATGGCATAGATCTTACCTGGGACAAAAGGTGTACTATGATCAAAAACTGGCAGACCATGATTGAAGCTCACGTCGATGTCAAGACAATCGATGATTACTTATTTCATTTGTTCTGCGGTTTTACTGAAAAAGAAACAACCAGGTACACAAGACCTCCTGTGTGTAGTACCCAGTCTGCCAGATCTGGAGGATGATGGGGATCATGATTTCAGAAGTGCAAATGACTTGAAAAAGTGGCTAATAAATTGATTCCAGGCAGCACCAGGAAAAACTGGAAAAGGCTTGCCATTCTATTTATCCTTGGCATAACGTCTTTGTTAGAAAAGTAAAGGTGCTGAAGAAGCCCAAGTTTGAACTGGGAAAACTGAAGGAGCTTCTTGGTGAAGATGGTAGTTCTGGGAAGGCTACTGGTGATGAGACAGGAGTGAGAGCTGAACAAGTTCATGGCTACGAACCACCAGTCCAAGAATCTGATTCAGATTTTTAACAGTGACAGATAAAAAGTTTTATTCGTGGGAAAACAAATCTCCATACAATGCTAGTATGATTGTGTCCCGCTCCACGGGAACTGCAATGGGGTACCTGGATTGGGGAGTGGGGATGTGGATGAGGCAAGGGGCAAGAGAAATGGAGACAAGACAGTGCTCTGATCAAGTCTCGTTTATTGAAGCACAAGCATACAGTTAAATAAGGAATACAGACTGGACTGAATCATACCAGCCAGATAGCAAAGACCCAGGTGCACTCCAAGGGAGGAATCCAATGAGAGCAAAGCAGTTACTGGAAAAGAAAACAAGAACACAGGCGAAGGCTGTGGGCTCCATCCAGTGCCTGTGAGAGTCTACTGATCAACAGAAAACAGGGCTATTTACAATAACTAGAGCAAGGCCGTGGGCTACCAGCCCCGGCTATGAGCCAAGGTTGTGGGCTCTTTCCCATGCCCGCGGGGGGAGGGTGGACAGAATGGAAAGTCACCAACTCAGGTCTGTCAGCAGTTTTGAGAAATGGCTGAGCCTCCGGCTCCCAACAAAAAGTGATGGTGTCTAATCTAATCCTGTTCTTCATTTCCTTTAAAAATGACTAAAATCCAGCTTACTTAATAAGGCTGTGGGCTACCAGCCCCGGCTATGAGCCAAGGTTATGGGCTCAGGTTGTGGGCCCTTTCCCATGCCCGCGGGAGGAGGGTGGACAGAATGGAAAGTCACCAACTCAGGTCTGTCAGCAGTTTTGAGAAATGGCTGAGCCTCCGGCTCCCAACAAAAAGTGATGGTGTCTAATCTAATCCTGTTCTTCATTTCCTTTAAAAATGACTAAAATCCAGCTTACTTAAGGAGAACAAGATGTCTGTATTGTGATTCTGTTAGGGGGTATCAAATGTTTTGTGCAGCTGAAGAATAGCCACATCAGGAAACATTCATGGAAACTATTATTGTAGGTGGGCATAATTCCATTTATTTGTGATTTTTGTCTGTTGGCCTCTATGCTTATATATGCAGAAGAAAGACATGCTTAATATCACTTAACTGCCTAGTGATAGAAAAGAACTTGTCATAGAAATGGCATGGCTATTATTTTATCATACCATTGCCAAATAAAATGTGGTTTAAATGGTAGTGCCAGACACATAAAAGCTAAAAGTATGTAAACGCTTAAAGCACTTAAATATTCAGCTATTACAGACATCCAATAGTACATCTTTTTGAAATGACCAGTCTGTAGCTGAGGTAGGGAAGGCTATATTGATGGTTATCTTTGGAAGTCTGAACCTTGACAGTCTATCTTTTCCTTAGTGAGGACCTGGTCACCCGAGGAGGAAGCAGAAATAGTCTGGGGAGTTATTTCGTGCTAATAGAAAAAAAAATGTTTTTTAGTTAGTTAATTAAAAAATTGGGGATGAAGTTGTAGTGGTAGAAGAGGCATGTGCTGGGAAAGCTCTGCTCCAGGGTTGACGTAGGAGCCTGACTGAAAGGACAGAACGGGAACCTGGATGCCTGAGGCTTCCTCTTGTTTTCAAATACCGTGCTTTCCTTAATGCCCGATGAAGTCCATGTCTTGCAAATCAAAGGAATAACATACAGTGCATCAAAAATAAAGCTAGTCTTCATTCATTCCAGAATTTGTTGGTTACTTGCCATGTAGTAGGTACTTCCCTGGGTTCTATATGTATAGTGGCCTGAGACAACGTTTCTGTCTTTAAGGAGCTTGTAATGAAGGGTAAAGAGACAATAAACACATCCTTCTAGGTAGTAATAAGAGGTGTGAAAAGTAGTAAACAGTGCAAAAGCTGGAAAGTTCCAGGAAGTATTCTTCAGTTGAGTTGTCTGAGGTGTGGTCTGTGAAGACTCAGCGTCTGAGCAGAGAGCCTGGGCTACAGGAAGAGCAAATATCCTTTGCCTTGCATCATTCGAGGAAGAGGAGGAATGTCATTGTGACTGGAATGACTCGAGGAAAGTAGAGCGTACATGTCACACAAAGCCGTGTAAGCCAAAGTGAACATTTTGGTTGTTTTTTTTCCCTGAATATGATGTAGTGGAATTTTGATCATGGTCTTGATATGATCTAAGGCATTCCTTTAAAGGCTCTAGCTGTGATGTAGACAATAGACTGTAGGGAAATCGGAGGACTAGCTAGTGGTCAATGCAGATGTCTAGGCTGAAGATGATCGTTTGAACTGTGGTGGCGATGTAGTGATATGTTGGTAGGTTCTAAAAATATCTTGAAGTCATCTAAAATATTCAAGACACATTAAATGCATGACTGAG